GAGCTAAGGACGCCCAATTACGGTACATTTTATCTGCATGCCCTGCGCATCATGTGATCATCTGATGGCATTGGGAGGGGGGGGGGGGGAGACTTTTGGAATGTGTTAGTTTGTCGCAAGTTTGTTTCCCTCAAGAACTGCCTTTCGTGTCTTTTCCGTAACCAGAAAAGTCGCAGGTTCGGTGTACAACCACTACGTCTCTAAGACTATTTTCACAGTAAGGGAGCATCTCATAAGTTCGCACTTTTTTTGTAAACGTAACGCATTTCGGATAGACTTTACCCCCCTACCTCCCCCCACTATTTGAAAGTCTTATCGCACATTTTCAGTGTAGATCTACTGTACTGTCCATGCCATGGTATGCACAATCATGTACATGGACATGGACGCTAGTGTGGAAGTGAATGACATTCAGTAGTACCACATCTACTGAGTACAAGTAAGTTTTAGTTACAGTCTTAGTTCAATCAATGACATGTACACACATAAACAGAGGTCCTCCACAACGACTGTACTGTCAAAGCTGGCCAGATGGCAGGTACACGGTTTGATCAGGCTGGTGTGACATTTGACACCTCTGAGTAGCCTGCATGCGTAGTGCAAGGGTTAGATCTACACCTAAAACACACCGGTACCCTGCTGTCTGAAGCGGTCTAGCACAAGCACAGCACTGTATTGTACACATCCAGAAAATGTGCGAACTGTCATTTTTCTATCCGAAATGGGCGCTACCCCCCTACCCCCGTTTCGAAATGCGTTACGTTTAGAAACAAAATGCGAACTTATGAGATGCTCCCTAACACTTTGGTGTCTGACCACCGCATCTCGCGGTCTAGGCTATCGGCAATGACAGCCTGGTGCACGGTCCCTGTGTTTCGAGGACTATCCAGCATGTAACACGCCAGACGGGAGTCCCCCCTCCCCCTATCGGACACTAGCCACTTCCATCGTACTGTATGGTTTGCTAGTTGTTCTTGTGTGTGTTTTTATGATTATTTTAAAAACCGGACGAAAACGGGCTTGGCAATCGTTGAGTCATCAATGATCGCCTAGCCCGTGACGTTCGTCGTACAGTTCGGTTGTACAGCAAGTATGTCCGTGTTGTCTTTCAGTCTGGTCAGTCCCTGAAAGACTGTTGCTATCTGCCTCGTTTGCCAGTCCAGAGTGCCCGTGAGAAGTGTACAGAAGGAAGGCGAAGAGAAGGCGGAGGCCAATGGAATGACGTGCATGTGATGTTGGTATGAGTGACGGTCAGTGTATGTCGCAGATTGTGGTCTATTCAATGTTTTGTTCCGTTTGTGGAGAGGAGTATGTGGGAGAGACGGAGCGATGTGTCAGGGAGCGAGTCCAGGAACATTACAGAGAAGCGAGAGTCTGTGCACCGCAGAAGCCCTGGGGAGAGCACTACGCATTGCACCAACCACTACAACATCCATCCACAGCGCCATTCATTGCCTTCACATCACCATCCATACTCGCAATGGAAGTGCCATACGCGAACCGCCGGATAAGGGAGGCAATCCACATCTGCAGACGCCATCCGAAGGTGAACCGTGATGGTGGTTGGGTGCTGCTTGACAATTGACAATGTGAAAATGTGGATGATGATCACTGTTACTGTTGCCACTGTCCTGTTGTCATGTGTGCTTGCTCACGCCATTGTTATATAGTTCAGCACAATGTTGTAGCGTTAGTGCAGTTTGGCGACGGAATCTCATCTCTCTTTTTTTGTCATAGTCCCACCACTATTCACACCTTGTTTTCAGGCACATTGGCATTTTGTGTGTGTGTGTGTGTGTGTGTGTGTGTGTGTGTGTGTGTGTGTGTGTGTGTGTGTGTGTGTGTGTGTGTGTGTCTTTTGTTACACGTGTGTGGGTGTGGGTGTGATTTGGAGTGTGAGCTTGTGTGAGTGTTGGTGCGAGTCACAGGTGAGCATGAGCGTGTGTCTCAGTGTTCTGGCATGTGCATGGTGTGTGTGTGTGTGTGTGTGTGTGTGTGTGTGTGTGTGTGTGTGTGTGTGTGTGTGTGTGTGTGTGTGTGTGTGTGTGTGTGTATGTCCCATATGGTGCAGTGGTATGTGCAGTCGATTTCCAATCGAGAGGTTGCGGATTCAATTCCCGACGATTATGGTCACACACGTCTTTGTTCTCTTTCTCATTCTCCTAGCTCTTCTTTCATTCTCCTGGGTGGTTACTAACAGCCAGTGTATGCCGGAGTATGTGGTGTGGTGTGTACGTGTGTGTGTCGAAAATGAAAAGAAAAAAGGTTCAAAAATGAAAAACAGGGATTCACTGGCCAGAAAAAGTCACTTCAATCAGCTGTGTGGTGGATACCAGGCTAAAATCAGTGGCGGTCAATTCATCAGCCTTGCAAGCTGTTAAATGTGTAATCCCAGCATAAGTTGCTATGTTTAACGCGATGGGCATATATGTGTGTGTGTGTGTGTGTGTGTGTGTGTGTGTGTGTGTGTGTGTGTGTGCCTGTGCCGAAAGGATGGTGCAATTTTATCACGTATGGTGTAGTTTCGTTCCACTTTGTGTTGCCTGTTATAGGTCCAATTCCAAGTGTGTAAAGCGGGATTCACAGAAGCTTTTTCGCGATGCGACACGCGATGTGTCGAAAAAGAAAAGAAAAAAGGTTCAAAAATGAAAAATAGGGATTCACTGGCCAGAAAAAGTCACTTCAATCAGCTGTGTGGTGGATACCAGGCTAAAATCAGTGGCGGTCAATTCATCAGCCTTGCAAGCTGTTAAATGTGTAATCCCAGCACAAGTTGCTATGTTTAACCCATTCAGCGCTACTGGGCCTTGCCTATGGTACTCTGCATATAAAATGCTAAAAACAGGGCCAATAGCAAGTTCTAAAACTCCAGGGTTCTGGCAACTGGGGTTCTCAAATATTTTGGAAATGATTGCCAAGACTATCAACTACAGGGTGACAGAATCGATACAGTCCCCAAAAAGAATAGCGCTTCACAATAGGGGACGCAAGTTTGCTCAAATTGTGTGAAATACGCCAAATGCGTGAAATTGCAGCTGAAAGATCGCTGAAAAGAGAAGAAAAAAAGACTCATAGTGTTTCCAAGCTGGATTCGTACCAGCGACCTATCGTACAAGAGGCAGGATCATGATCCAACTGGCTAACAGTGCTTTTACACCCCAAACAGTGCCAGAAATCACTATATATCCCATGACGTCTATAGACGTCATCCCGCGCGTGGGGGGCACTTTCAATGACGTCTATAGACGTCATCAGCGTTCAATGGGTTAACGCGATGGTCACATATATGTGTGTGTGTGTGTGTGTGTGTGTGTGTGTGTGTGTGTGTGTGTGTGTGTGTGTGTGTGTGTGTGTGTGTGTGTGTGTGTGTGTGTGTGTGTGTGTGTGTGTGTGTGTGTGTGTGTGTGTGTGTGTGTGTGTGTGTGTGTGTGTGTGTGTGTGTGTGTGTGTGTGTGTGTGTGTGTGCCTGTGCCGAAAGGATGGTGCAATTTTATCAGTTAGGTGTCCGATTTTGTAACTCTGACAGCCTTTGGTAAGTAATAATAATATCGTGCCAATAACACACTCTCACTCTCAGTCTATTTTTAAATTTTAGAGTGGGCAGCAGTCTATCATCTCTATGTTACATGTACTCCTCCCGGATATCCCTTGCATTCCCTGCTGTAGCCACTATGACTCATTGTGTCACGTGAGAGCGAAATAGGCTCGCGCTAGACATAAAAAATACTAGTAGCTGATGTTGTTATGTCGCCGATGGTGATGGATCAATCGACCAGTACTGCAGTATAGAACATGACAAGGTGTATAAAATGGCTCTGTAACGTTACTTGTGACAGTAGTATGTAAAATACTTGTGACGTTGTGTGCTGGCTTATGTGCAGTATACTGTGTAGTGTCAGATAGTAGTCAGTCTCGTCTGAGTGTGCTCTAACGACAACTTCCGAAAAGCGTGAAGCTGGACAGCGAAGACCCTTTCCATGAGTTACGCGATGCGTTGACTTACCTGGGGGCTTGTTCGTAAACGACACACTTCTTCACTGACTGTTCCATGAGAAAGTAAGTAGTTCGTTCGTTCGACGCCGAGTGTCCGTGGTGCGATGGTCATTGGGCACTGCGTCTGACAGTGACACCGTCTCTTTCTGCAGTGTCTCTGGTGTCGGACAACGGATTCCCTAACAGCCCACAATATTTGCGGTAGTCCTGGCAAGAACCGTCGATGTACTGGTGGTGAGAGCCCGCTGGTTATTGCTAGCAGCTGCGGACAGTCCATGTAAACAAAGTTGCCAAGCAGTACTTGAAGATCAGTTATCGACTAATTACGATGCTGAAAAGGTTACTGATCCTGCGTCGTGGACGATCGGTGCCTGTGGATCTACCGGCGGACGATGAACAAGCATTTCACGTACTTTTGCCACTGATTATCTCGCATCAAGACAAGCAGGCGGCTGACCTTCTCTCGTCGCCCAGATGTACGTTCAATCCAAACATGCACCTAAGTCGATCAGGAAACTCGCTCCTGCACATAGCAGCTAATGCCGGTGCCATAGAGGTGTTGATGGTGACGCTGAAGCTCGGTGCCGATGTCAACAGCCGCGACAAGAATCGCAACACGGCACTGCACCTGACGGCACGGGGCAATCACCAGAGATGCTTCGGCCGCTTGCTGGAGTTTGGCGCGGACATCAACGCGTCGGACAAACGCGGACTGACGCCGCTGCACTGGCTTGCAGCCACGCGTGGACAGACGGAACTTCTGACGATGGCAATCGTACGCCACAAGGCTCTGGTGGATGCCGCCGACTCGATCGGGCAAACACCGTTACACATGGCCTGTCAGAACGGCAACCGTGCGGCCGTCACCAAGCTGCTGGACTACGGCGCAAACTGCGAGCAGCAGGACGAGAAAGGGCGCACGCCGCTGTTCTTTGCCTCACGCTACGGCCAGGTGGAGTGCATTCAGCACTTGCTTAAGCACGGCGCTCAGATCGCGAGAACAAGACAGCGTTGGACGTGTGCGTGGAAGGTGGGTACAGCGCGTGCACGCTGGCACTGGTCGAGCACTTACCCCAGCTTCTTGTGCCGCTGGTCAAGATGGTGCTCTCGCCTGACATGGACGAGGCCAAGACTCAACAGGCCTTGGAGTACCTGTGCCAGAAGAACCGAACGCTGCACACGCGCATCGTGTATGGCCTTGCCGACCTGGCGGCTGGCTGTGGTGTGGAACTGATTAGCTCACCGGAGAGTTGTGACATCACCGTCGACAGTTACCTGTGCTCGGTGCGGATCTTGCTGCATTTGTGCAGCAAGCCACCGGCATCGCCAGCCGAGCTAGCGCGAGATCAACACCACCACCTGAACCCAGCCCGCAGTGCCTCCTTCTTTCGGTCAATTGCACGAGCTGAGCCAGAGAAGCCGGCAAGTGCTGATATGGACCACCCGCTTGCTGTGTTTGACCCACTCTGGCATCTCATGACCCTATGGTTCTGTGCTGTAAAAGATGAGCTCCAATCAGTAGCAGCAGCAGCTTCCTCAGTGGCGAGCGAGCCTTTCCATAAAGTTCCGTCCAAGGCAGCTTCTTCAGCTTCATCTTTGGATGATGTTCTGAGCACTGAGAGTGATGTCCACTCAGCTAGCGGTGTGACGACCAGTCCTATGTCTGGATTGAGCTCACGCCTGCCCAGTGATGGCTCTCTCAGTGATAGTGGCCATGGCATTCCCATTGAAGAGCTCAACCTCCCAACGCATGTGTCAGCACACGATCCCCCTCATGCTTCCTCGGCAGGGAGTGGCCAGTTTGCTTCGCATCGAAAACACCGCAAGGTTTCACTCACCCCGCAGACCCGAAGCCTGGCAGCTGCTGTTGTGAAAGATATTCCGGTTCAGCTATGCAAGGCACTGGTTTGCAAAGAAAGCAGTGATGGCAATCTGCATGGAGGCCTGCCTCTTCTAGCCTGGCGCAAGCTGTCTCGACGCCAGGATCTCCCGAGCACTGCAGCATTAAGCGATAACCTGGCATCAGTGGATGACTGTGTGCCAGAGAGTTCTGAATCCGACACACCTGCTGCCGAGCAACCGACGGATCCAAGCAGCACCAGCGCTCAAGAGTGCGCGGATGAAAGGAGTAGCACTGCACCAACAGCAGGCGCAACTGACAGGATGCCTTCTAAGCTCAGATCACAAGAGGGTGACGACGTTGAGGATACGACATCAGGTGCCGTCGTGGACTGCTTCACCGATCGCCTGTGTGCCGTAGCCCGTTCCTACTTTATGGTGTGCTGTGCAAAGGCACACAGCGGCCCGGGTTTTGGTGTTCCCGACGAGTTTGTTCACTTTGTGAAGGAGCACATGGCAGCAGTGAAGGTCCTTGTGCTTCGCAAACCGGAGCTTATCTTCGCCCACTTTGCGTTTCTGCTGGAGAGCCCAGAGCTACTACGGGAATTCACACATATCATTCATGCGCAAAAGTTCGAGGAGCGGCGCAAATGGTTCTATGAGAATCTCCACGAAGGCAACTCATCAACGCTGGATTTGGACAACGTGATAAGTGTGTCTCGTAGTGGCATCTTCCGCAGCTCCTGTGAAGCGCTGATGAGCATGGATGCAACAAAGCTCAAGAATAATTTCTCTGTCACGTTTGAAGGTGAGGAAGGCATTGGTTCTGGCGTACGGCGAGAGTTCTTTGATCAGATCTCCTCTGAACTGCTGAACCCCGGACTATGCGCTTTTCACACTATCGGCTGATGGCTCTACATTCCAACCAAACCCGAACTCTGAAATCAACTCGGATCATCTCAGCTACTTCAACTTTGTTGGCCGCCTAATAGGTACAGCTATCTACCACGAACAGCTACTTAGCATCTACTTCACGCGCTCTTTCTACAAGCACATCTTGGGCATTGCCGTGGACTACAAAGACGTAGAGCACATCGACCCAGACTACGCACAGAGCCTGCAGTGGTTGCTGGACAACAACATCAACGACCTCGACTTTGATCTGACGTTCTCGCTGGAGAATGACGTCTTCGGCAGCATGCAGGTCGTGGAGCTGAAGCCGGGTGGTGCTACGCGGGCCGTTAGCGACCACAACAAACGCGAATATGTGCGCCTGGTGGCAGAGCAGCGGCTAACCAGCGGCATACAAAAACAGATCAAGGCGTTCATGAAAGGCTTCAACCAGATGATCCCTCAGCGGCTCATCTCGCTGTTCAACGAGTACGAGCTTGAGCTGCTGATGTCTGGAGTGCCGGATGTCGACATTGACGACTGGAGGGCGAACACGCACTATAGCGGCGGCTACGACGAGACCAGTCAGGTAGTTCTCTGGTTCTGGGAGGTGGTGGATGTGCTCGATCACAAGGAGCGCATTCTTCTGCTGCAGTTCGTCACCGGCAGCTCTCGCGTACCGCACGGCGGCTTTGCCAACCTGCCCGGTTACAGCGGGCCGCAGAACTTCAGCATCACGTCGGCGCCGCAGGCGGACAAACCTGACAGCCTTCCGACGTCCTCTACGTGCTTCAACATGTTCAAACTGCCAGAGTATCCAAGCAAGGAGATACTACATGATCGGCTGCTGGTTGCCCTGCACTACGGCAGCCAAGGATTTCAATTTGCATAGCATGGTGATTCTTGGCACTGGACACTTACTGTTCCCTGAAGAATAGAACTTGAGATTTTGAAGCTGCGCTTTTACGCCTTTCCCTAAATCAGTAAAATTAATGTTATCATAATTGATCAAGGACCCATGGAGTATAATAAAGAATATTTAACAAAAAAGTATTCTTGATGTGCACAGACCTTTCTAAAAATCGAATATAAAATGTGTGTCTTCCTACAGTTTACCTGAACCTTTGTCCATTTCGGTAAAACTGACGACTTGAATCCGTCCATGTTAATTGATGAAACAGACTACAGTTGCATGCACATCCATAGTATACCACAACCTACTGTCTTGAAAGTATAAAATACAGGTTCCAGGAGGATACAACTATGCACTGCTATGTATCTGCTTTCAAGGCAAAGACATTCTGTTGTTTGTTTGTTTTTAATTGTTGGCTCTACTATACATTGTTAGTTGGTTTGTTGTGTCGGATGTGCTGAAGCTCCAATATACTCTGTGGATTGGTTTGCTGTGAAATGTATCTGGCACGTCCAGTCCCAGCTGGCTGGCTGGTTCCACGCTGTGGTGATCAATCACTGTCCAATGTAGGCAGCTCATCGAAACACTGAGCAAGTTCAGTGTCCTGCTCATCCGTGCGTGGCTCTGCACTAGCATAGACATCGCACTCAGAATCGGAATCACCCAGAGCAGAAGAGTCCTGTGGGATGGGTAACTGGCCGGCAGCAGGTGACTGGGTGCAAAAAGAACAGTCGCACAAAGGTGCATCATCACCGTCTCCAGAAACTACGTGCATGCTGCTGGCATTATCCTGACACTTTGAAATAGCATCGTCACAATGCGGTATAGATGTGCTTTGTTTTGGCGAATGGCAGATAGTAAACTGAGAGCGCCACCGCGCTCGGCACGGATCGCTGTCTGGCAAACGTCGGAACGCCATGCAGTGCAGATGCTCGAGCTTCTCATAGCGCCAGCGCTTGAACCCAATCTGCTCGATGGCCAGCTTCCAGGATTTCATGAGCTGAGCGTGTCGACCTGCATGCGAGCTGTCCGGGGTTGTGATCACAAACAAGCCGTTTGGCATCAGAAGGTCGTACGCCTTAACGCAGCACAGCCACCGCTGCGACGCTAACGGTAGGTAGGACAGAAACAAGCAGAACACAACGCAATGGTATGCGTGACGGGGTAGCATTCTGACGGGTGACTCAAGAGGTGGCAGTTGTGACCAGCAACTTGAGCTCGGCGAAACAGAGAGCCGTATGAAGTCACATTCATGAGTACTCTGTGCAAGCCAAGCAGAAAGACATGCTCGATGAGACACGGAATGCACAGGATAGACAGACACGCAAATAAACAAAATGCAACGGCAGATCAAGACTAGACTGATTGATACTGATATTCTTTAACGTTTCAACGATTGTCTTCTTCAAAAGGACAAGCAGGCAGACTGGCAGAATTGAACTAGTTCTAACTCCACCGCACGCACTCGCTGCCCGACCTCATTCACGCCACTGACAGCACGTGGAACTAAAAGAGAGGTGATAAAAGGAGGCGATAATACTATCCAAAGGGTGTAGAGGAGAGCAGACTCGTGATGGCATCGCTCACAATGGCACCTCATAATAGAGAAAGTGTCTGGCCCCCACCCCCGGGACATGTTGGATGAGCTCATTGGAAGGGGTATAGGATGTAAACAGTCCCCAGGCACAAAGATGCTCGATGTTGATAGTCCGTGAAACAAATCATAGCGACCACAAGTACCTGTTCAGCTGGATGAAGGTCAATGGCAAGCGGCGCAAACCCATCAAACTGAGCAAAGGGATTGTAGCAGCTACCCACATCCAAAAGTCGAATACCGCCATGGACATTTCCACGCTCATACCTAACAGAACAGAATGGGAGAGTCATCGTCAACACTACGAAATAGTTGAAAACACATACACCCGAAACATCATAATTTTTTCAACATCACTAATGAAAGAATTTTTCATCCAGCGCATGCGACAAATAGCAACTGAATAGAGCGGTTGTCAGTTGACAAACCCCCTTTTATGAACACATACACAGTGCATAAAATTGCTTTGGCCATTTACAGTATATCGCTGGTCCACCTCACAACTACCAGACCATGACCTTGGCAATAGGAAATTTGTGCACACATGCCATGGAAACAACTGAGCGGAGAATGTATGGAGCGATCTGATACATGAACAAAAGGAATCCCAGTCCATCCTGTGAAGCATGCCCTGAATGGTACCTTTGCTCTTGGTAGAACAAAGATAGGAGATCTGACAGCACCCCTCCGAACTGTTCCACGTGAATATCCTCACCATTTCTGATGGACGTCACATGAACAGGGGCATGTATGACAAGACATCTGAGTTAGCCATTCAACATCGTCAATCTGTTTCTCTTCATGATCGCAGTCTGCAGCACAATGTCAGAAAAAAGACAAGATCATCAAGCGTCGAGTACAACGGCATGTTGCCAATGGCAACTAGTGCTGGCAACCATGCGTATACAAACTGTTGCATGACCGAGTTGTAACGTACATGTAGGCAGTAGGCAAGTGTAAGCATCAGCTGTAGCAACTACAGAGCCAGAAGCAGGGGAAATCCCAGCAGGCAATTCAGGTAAGACATGCACTGTGCATACAGATTGTATGCCACGCACGAGTCTGACCACTCCTTAGGCAAACAAATTGCAACAAATAGTTAAGTAACCCACACAAGCCCCCTTTCTCAGCAACGCATCCACTGTTCTTTCATCGTACTGCCTGGTATAAAAACTGGCCTTGACTTGTACACAGCCTGGTTTTATGATGCTTCTTCGCCTCAGGAGCTAAGGACGCCCAATTACAGTACATTTTATCTGCATGCCCTGCGCTATCATGTGATCATCTGATGGCATTGGGAGGGGGGGGGGAGACTTTTGGAATCTGTTAGTTTGTCGCAAGTTTGTTTCCCTCAAGAACTGCCTTTCGTGTCTTTTCCGTAACCAGAAAAGTCGCAGGTTCGGTGTACAACCACTGTGTCTCTAAGACTATTTTCACAGCAACACTCTGGTGTCTGACCACCGCATCTCGCGGCCTAGGCTATCGGCAATGACAGCCTGGTGCACGGTCCCTGTGTTTCGAGGACTATCCAGCATGTTACACGCCAGACGGGAGTCCCCCCTCCCCCTATCGGACACTAGCCACTTCCATCGTACTGTATGGTTTGCTAGTTGTTCTTGTGTGTGTTTTTATGATTATTTTAAAAAACCTGGCAAAAACGGGCTTGGCAATCGTTGATTCATCAATGATCGCCAAGCCCGTGACGTCCGTCGTACAGTTCGGTCGTACAGCAAGAAAGTCCGTGCTGTCTTTCAGTCTGGTCAGTCCCTGAACAACTGTTGCTGTCTTCCTTGTTTGCCAGTCCAGAGTGCCCGTGAGAAGTGTACAGAAGGAAGGCGAAGAGAAGGCGGAGGCCAATGGAATGACGTGCATGTGATGTTGGTATGAGTGACGGTCAGTGTATGTCGCAGATTGTGGTCTATTCAATGTTTTGTTCCGTTTGTGGAGAGGAGTATGTGGGAGAGACGGAGCGATGTGTCAGGGAGCGAGTCCAGGAACATTACAGAGAAGCGAGAGCCTGTGCACCGCAGAAGCCCTGGGGAGAGCACTACGCATTGCACCAACCACTACAACATCCATCCACAGCGCCATTCATTCCCTTCACATCACCATCCATACTCGCAATGGAAGTGTCATACGCGAACCGCCGGATAAGGGAGGCAATCCACATCTGCAGACGCCATCCGAAGGTGAACCGTGATGGTGGTTGGGTGCTGCTTGACAATTGACAATGTGAAAATGTGGATGATGATCACTGTTACTGTTGCCACTGTCCTGTTGTCAGGTGTGGTTGCTCACGCCATTGGTGTATAGTTCAGCACAATGTTGTAGCGTAAGTGCAGTTTGGCGCCGGAATCTCATCTCTCTTTTTTTGTCATAGTCCCCCCACTATTCACACCTTGTTTTCAGGCACATTGGCATTTTTGTGTGTGTGTGTGTGTCTTTTGCTACACGTGAGTGG